GAAACTGTATGGTCAGATTCTCACCATTGGATCAGATTCTTCCTGGGTATGACATCACTTCATGCATTATCTTTTACTTGTGGCTGATAAGGTCAATACAGGATCTGCACACTCTCCGGCTGGTAACGTGTCAGCAGATATATGGACATGTACTGCCTGTTGTGATTATAATTAAATGTTCTCATGATGCTTTGTTGTTCTGACAACTTCTCACAACTCTCAAAGTGCTGAGCTCCTTCCAAGACAATCTCCCTCCATCTGGTTTGGCCATGAGCCTTATTCTGCAAAGATTGTTATTGATGTTGCATTCTAATCTGTTTGCGTTTACTGTATCTTTGAAACAATTACTCTGTCCTTCTCTGGTGTGATTACTGGCAAAATATAACCTTCCTTGAGAACGTGGAGGCTGACATGACCAAACCAACAGAGCATACCATATGATCATACTGTAGCTTGTGGTGCGCACCTGGGAGAGCACCTTGAAGTTGATACACCTGTCGTCTCTCTTCATACTAAAATGTTGGTAATATGATTCCAGTAAATGTCTTTTGTGTTTTGTCCCCATTCCAAACAATAAAGTGGGAATGATGACTGTTTAGCAGATAATCAGTTTTGATGTCACTATCCTCAATTCCTTGTGTGGTCAAAGACTGCATTTGTAGATTTCAGCTGACAATTCTTCTTCAATATTAGCCAAATACTGCAGACAGCTGACAAAGTATTTGTCTGCCATTTGTTGTGAATCCAAGTTGATGGTGTTCAGGCATGAGCATTTGGATTTTGCTGATGGAGAACCTACTGTACAGTAGGTCTTCTGACTGCTAAGGGTAACTCCCATCTTCTCATGTTCTACAGGAAGTTTGTTCGCAATTATCTGTATATCCATTTGCATCAATGCACATTCCTACAACACTGTCAGCACACTGGAGTTCAATGACTGAAGCTGGTTTTAGTTTTCAACCGGAGTTGCTGGCGATTAAAGCATTTACCTGTCTTTTAGTACATACTGTACATACCAGGCAGCATCTACGGTGCTGATGTTATTTAATATACAACAATGTAATTCCTCAGACTGAAGCATGTTGTCAATTTCTTTCTTGGAAAATGTGAGTGGAACAGCCATTTCCCCCAATTGAAGTGTATTCATCCTAACATGTAATTCCATAGATATTAATGAACATAGCATTGGGATAAACACACTTCATCACAGGTGTTGCAAACAGTGAAGATTACATCTGCATTCAAGAAAAGTGAACATTCGAAATTTATTATGGGAGTATCAAAATGCATCTGACACTGAAAAAAAAAGAAGATCCATCAAATAAAGAGAGAAAAGGAGCATAAATTCTCCCAAATGAAAAACAGCTCCAAAACAGCAAGTCATTTGCCTGCTGCTTTTTTATAGGTTTATGTCAGGCTTGTTGGGATTCTCCAAATGTTAAATTGCATTTACAAAGTGTCCATGGTCTCTATATTGGTATTCAGATAAGCTATGGATACCCTCAGAAATAAAACATTCTACAACAAAACTGTCACTTAATTTACAGTGACATTATTTTCTATTATTTTATAATGAACAATATCAGATACTTCAACAGAGCATGTTACAGAAAATGAAAAGACCAATTCACTATCACTTCATACTTCACATTTCCCAATACTGCAAAATTGGGGTCAAAGGACATTATGATGGTTTTATACCAAAATAAAATTGTTAAATTCTACAACATTCTGTCACCAATCTTATTATAGCATTTCAAAAAACATCTTTGTGGCTTTTCTCTTGCAGAAGCACATCACATACTATAGCATCATTATAATTAAGTTCTGGTAATTTTCTAATTGTTAGTTATCAGTATTATTTAAGGAAATGTGCAACAATCTCTCTGAAGAGGTTGCAATCGGGAGCTACAAAAACAAGTAGAAGTTTATTCTTTACCTAAATACAAAACAAACTAAGAATGTTTCAGATGCAAAGCCTTCTTCAGATGTGTAGAGATCGAGCGGAAATATGAGGTGCAGGGAAGGTGTGGGCCGGGGAAGATCAAAAAAGGAAAATAAAGATGGGTACAGATTGCAGAATGCTGCCTTCTACACCACACTCACTTTGGAATTAATTGCCCAGATCTCCATCTGTTTATCCTCCATTTCACCTCCTCTATCTTTCCTCACATGTTCTTTCCTTTTTCTTTCTTAAAATAACCCCGCTGCTCTGTTTTCTTACCTCTACACACCTGGAGAATCTGCATCCAGAACACAGGCATTTTTTTTCTTTTTACTTCTCACTCTGGAATGAACCACCAATTGTTTCCTAAATGGAAGTAGGATCACCGCTCCTGTCCACATACTGATGTATGGACTGCTGTGATCATAATCCAAGTCATGCAAAGCACCAACTGTTTCTTCTGCCTTCTAGCCTTCCCTAAGCAGTAAATTTAACATTCTTGTCAGTTATGGGTGTGTTTCTCTATGCTTGCCTGGGGAGCTTGAGGGTGTATTTTTCTGATGTTTCATACAAAACATTTACAACTTCCCTTGGTGCTACAATATTCTCGGTCAGCTTCTCAAAGGCTTGAAATGCAGCTGTAAAGCACATTAAATAGTAATGGTAAGCTGAAAACCATGCCACTGTAGATGCATTCTGTTTGTGTATTATATGGCTGCAATATAGAAATGTTACAGTACATTTAAGTCATTAGTGCAACGTCTTATAACCTTTAAGTATGTAAAATAAAAGAAGCAAAACAGACAAGCAGCATTTATGTGATATTTAAAAGCATCAATAATGATAAAAACAGTTTCATAAACACCAGCAACTCCTCATTAAATTCCATGTTTGTATCTTAACTGAGCAAGATAATTTATTACACAAATACAGACTAGAACTAAATATATATATTCCATAAAATTAACAACAGAATGAACGGTAGCTGAAACACTGCTGCTTGTGACCTTACTACAATTCACAATGGTGAAAACAAAATGTTTTGATGCAGACATGACGCACAAAGATGGATACCAGGATCAAAATCTCAGCAAAAATTAAAAATGAACAGAAGCCCAATGCAAAAAAAATAAAATACAGGAAAGTAACTGCCTCTTATTGTGATCTGCATGTGACTGTCATTAGTTTGTACCAGTTCACTGGTGTGTAGTTTGATTACTCTGTGGTTATTTTTCTATTCTTATTTAACAGAATGAATATACAGATTTATACCTCAATGGAACCTGGATTTTTTTGGTGCTATTGTGAAAATTTTATTGTGAAAGGATTATTGGAATTGTTCACACTCACACTCACAGAAAGCTTAGCATATTTATACTGTATAAGATATTCTATCTTCTATACAATACTCGCAATGATGCTTAACTGAAAATGATGGCTTACTTTTTCAAAACATAACCGGGACAGACCACAAAAGCCTGCAGCATTTTTGCTTCTTTATAAATACACTGACTTCACGACTACTAATGGTGACCTTCCACTTTCGCATCACAGTGGAGTGATAACACCTGCTCACCTCAGGCTCCCCAGAGCTCCATTCAACTTACAGTACTGTTGCATCTCACCAAGCTCAGCCCCTCCTTTATCCACAGTAGCTGCACAGTAGATGGACCGCTGCTTATTGCCAGTAAAGGAAAACCCAACAATGATCCTTCAAAGACAGATTCATCACATTCATCAGTCTTCAAACAGGAGCCTGGACATGGTACAAAATCTGCATACAGTATGACTACAGCTATTTCTCGCATCATCACTTTCTAGGCATCTGTCAGTGCTAACAATTCGCAAGGTTAGTGTTTATAGCACATCTCTAGTTTGACTAGTCACACAATGCAACTCCAGCAAAAAATAATTAGGACAAAACTAGATACTGGCTGCACTGTCATTAACTATGAAATAATCTTAATAATCTTCAGGCTGTTAAAGTGCTGACAGAAAAGTAAGATTATTAAATGTAATTGTGCATGTTACTATAACACTGATTTTCCAGACATTCAGGCCTTATAATTAAGGTAATTAATTGATAATTAAGTGAATAACTGAAGTATTTCAAAATATGTCTTTGCTGAATTAAAGTGCATATTCACATGATGATTTTATCCGATCATCTTCTATGATTTATTCATTTTTATCAGTCGAGCAATCAGTATTACTTTGGCATATTGCTTGGCATAGTACAGTTCACAGTCTGCTTTCCTCAAAACAGATATTGGTTAAAACGCAACACGATGCTGCATTTCTCATATCATTCTGTCTGAACTGCCACCACTCTGTTAAAACCATGTCATCTAAGACAGGACGATAAAATTCATGTCATTTAAAGTCACAGAACACCAACATTTCATGCAAACCTAATTTATTGTTGCGTTTTAAATATTACATGTGTGTGATACACAAAAAGTAGACGGCCCATATAATGAAGGTTGAATAAAGCATACGTTCATAAACTGTTGTAGCAAAAGGCACTCAAATTCATAACGACCATTAATGTTTCAATAACTTTAAGATGAGGTTGTTTGCTCCTTTGTTATTGCTTAATGTTAACCCTGCTAACAAAACACTGTATGGTAGATTTACTAGAATATAAAATTGTTCTTTAATTTTGTTTTGCATGAATGTCTTTAAGTTTGACTGTACTTGTAATGTACAGGAGATTGGTTGTAATGAAATTGTGTATGTCTAGAGTGGGTTAAAACCGACTGTTTTTAGAAGTTTCCTGGAGTTTTAATATTAGTTCCAAGGTGAAATTAAGTTTGAACTTTCATTGGCGGACAAAAGTGATCAAATGGTGCAAAATCTCAAAAGTACGGTATAGTACATATATATATGATCAATAATCACAATAATTGCCCTGAATAATTTTAAGGTAAGAACATCACTAAGGTGTTTTAATAATACATCAGTTTCCTAGTAATACTGTAATCAATCTGATGCATATTAACAACAATTGTTCAACCATGCATTTTCAAAACTCCTTTATCCAATACAGGGCGGGGAAACCTATCCCAGCAAGTACAGATGCAAGGCAGGATACACCCTGGACAACAGGATGCCCGTACATCATAAGGTACACACTGACACACATGCACTCACTCACATTAGGATCAATTTTCCCAGAAGCCAATTAACCTACCAGTATGTCTTCAGATTGCTGGAGGAAACTAACGCACCTGGAGAAAATCCAAGGGAACACGGGGAGAACATACTGTAAATATTTGTTCAATTCATGTCAGTTGGAGTCCCAATGTACTTCTCTAAACACATACACACCCTAAGATTCAAATATAAGAAAATACGATAGGCTACAAACGAGAGGGGGCCATTTGACTCAAATGGACTGATAGTTCAGTGGTCAGTGAATTAGCTGTCCATTTAGAAGTTAACTGTATGAAGGATATCACTCAGTCATTTCTTTAAAGAAGGCCTCCGCAATATGGCTGAGTTCCACACCTCACAACACTTTGTGTAAAGAAGTGCTTCCTGTTCTCATTTTAAATGCACTTTCACAGTTTACACATGTGTCTTCATGCTTTACTGTTGATTCTGAAGAAGACCGCCAAGTTGACTGAGTGGTTTAGAATTCTGAATACTTCAGTCAGGTCCCTTTCAGTCTTCTGTTCATGATTAAAACATTTCGGCTCTTCGGGTCAGTGTAGGACTTCTTTAAGCCTGGAAATGTTTAGTTTGTCTTCTTGGGACTGTTTCCAGAGCTGCAATATATTGGGGACCAAAATGCTAAATACTGTTATAAATAAACTGTGCATTGTTCAGTTTAACATGCCATAACATCTCTTTGAAATCTGTTTTCACTATTTACAGGATAACTAACCTTGCCTTTTTTATTGCTTCCCTATGTTGTTAAGAAACTAGCAAGGTTAGAAGATCTAAATATTTCTTTATTAAGTAGCCTATTTAAGCTCACCATTTATTATTTGCATCCGTCTTTCATTAAACTCAGCTGGGAGCAAAGCCTCTGAAGTATTGCCCAGGCATCTGCAGTTTCTCGTGCATGAACTGATTGGTTCTCAGGCGATGTAAAGCAAAGAAACACAAGGAATTGTTTAACTCTTCTGAAGGGGATGACCCCCAAAAGATGAGTCATCCAGCAGCACCCAGGAGGCTCAGCAGAGGAGAAAGCCCAGCCAGGTGGCTCAGAGGAGCACGATGCTCTCAGATTCCAGCTTGGCGTGTTAACGGAAGCAAAAAGGTGATGTGAAACAAGTCTCTTTACTGAAAAGATGTCAGACACATATAATAAGTTTTCCCCTTATTTATCATAAATGTACCATTGATGAACTGAATACTACGAACTAGTGATTTCGGCTGAAGAGGGGAGCCCCTCCAAATCGTTTCTTGTTAAAAGAAACTGTTAAAATGCTGAAAACAAAACTCAGCACATGACTTTGAAAAGCCACTTAGAGGTTTGGTACTACATTGAGTCTTGAGACAGGACTGCAGGAGTTTTCAGTGATGACAAGAAATGCTCCAGAAATATAACATAGCCATTTAAAAGGACTTTCCAGAAGCCCTACCTAGAGAGCCCTCTGACATGAACAGTAAGCGGTAAATGATACAGTATAGTACAAACATTTAAAAGACAGACCAGCAAGGATCCTGTGGTGTAATCAAATGTGAAATCACTGCAGAATTCATGTGTGTTCAGCTCAACAGCTCACAGACCTTTGATCACAAACTGCAAAATAATCCTGCAGAAAAACAGGTGTATGTATGTATTCTTGTGCTCTGCCTATTAAAGATCCGTAAGTGTAAATGATAATTGAGTAATTACCGTAATCTATAATAATAAGAAACATAAATAAAAACGAACTATAGTTATTTCACTTTTTTCTCCCAACATTCAGCTGATGTTCAGTCATCTTGGATGCCGAATGCTCTTGGAATAAATTGTAATAAAGAAACTTCTAATAAATATTAATATCACTGCACCGTACATTCATACTCTGTGACTCATGAGAGCAAAAAACATACTACTTTTAATTCCCAAAGTGTTATTTGCTAATTAATTTAAGAAACCATGCCTCAGGATTGATGATTTCGTAGCTTTGTGAGATTAGAGATTTTTTTGCATTATTTATTTATGCATATTAAAATGTATGTTCATAAACACATACTGTACCTTAGATAAAACAGGCACATTTAGTTCTTCAGAGTACTGACAAGAGACTTGTAACCAATGACTTCTGTATGAACTTTTAATGTACTTGTGATTTCTTTTTCATGCATCTAGATAAGAAAATAATGCAAGGTAATGGCTTGATTTTGATCAAGGTCAGAGGTTTATATATGTGCATATTATTTTACTTTATGCAGGAAAAACTCATACTCTGACATAAAAGTATACAAAATGGATCCTGTCTAAATAGTTAACAATTCAAAACCAAAACCATATTCATGATATAAACCAGTAAAATCAATAAAAATAAGCAGTAGTTTACTGTTCAAGTCAATCCTTTTTTAATTTACTGCAACAATACTCTGGTCTGTTCTGGTGTGGTATAGTCAGAAAGCTTGAATTCAGTATATGATTGTTTCAAATGTTACATCAAGAAGGATTTGTTAAATCCATAACTGACAGATGATAATAAAATATTGATATTTGTTGTTATACTCTTATTATTTCATAATATATACACATGGTATAGTAATAAAAAGGTGGCCTTACCCTGGCAGAACATTTATTTCTAAATACCGGGTAAACAAAAGTATTTGAAATCTGGCATTAAAATGTAATTAAAGATAGTGTTAACAGCAATCTCCATTTACACTAGGATTTCCTTCAACATCAAAATCTTTTCCTTTTAGCAAAAATGAACAAGACTTAAAAGAAAATTTGTGATTTCAGCTTTGTGCTGAGATTCTTATTTCTTTGGTCAAAGGCTAATTTACCAGAAGTATTTCTCACAGTAGGTCATAATTTCTGCTATTGTAGATGTTAAACAATCTGCATTGAATTATATCCATTCACATTATATTCCATTGTTTCGGGGCTTGTGTTGCATTTACAATCTGAGAACAATACATCCAGCCATTACAAGTAACAGAAATAAAAGAATGGTTTAAGTCTATCAACAGCACTAGCTCACATTAGCTGCCTATAGACTGAGAGGCACAAAAAGCAGAAATTAAAAACCCATGGCATAATTGATTGTAACAGATACTGTTAAATCTTGAAAAAAGGTTTATCATTACCCTCAAGGGAATAAGAAAACATAAGTAGGCATAGGGGAGCCCTTAGTGATAAGTTATAATTCTAAATGTCACAGTCACGGCTAAGTTAGATTCCTGAAATGAAATGTTAATAATAGAATATTAATTTGGGAAAATAGCAGAAATACAAATCAGTAAAAAAATACATCGATGCAAAGTGTTGTTGACCCATCATAAACATAAAATTGTAAATAGAAATAATGCGAAAAGCAAAAAAATGTTTATTCTTTCCAGTACATCTTCTTAGTATGTGAAATAATCATAAAACCATTTAAGGCATCATTACAATACAAAGATCATCCAAATGAAAAGAAAATACTCACTAGTACTCCATAATGTAAATATACTGTACATATATTTTAAAATAAATTATGTTTATGTTAGTGTTTCATAAATTATATTTCATGATACACATATTATGCATTGGGGTATGCTTTGGAAAGTAACAATAAGTGGAGTAGGAAGGTGTATCTGAAACTTCCATGTAAAAACCACAGATATGGTTCATGAAATGATGAAGTTAGCATCATGTTGTTAATTATAAGGTTGGAACTAAGTTTGATTGTACAAACATAATCTATTGAGCAACAAGCCTAAACAATGAACTGAAAATCTGAATCTACTGACATGAAATACTTAATACAAAGAAATTCAGTATGAAATGAGCCCCTCATGTATACAAACAACCAGAGCAGTTTAATTAAGCCTATTAAGAATAACTTTGCTTGCTCAAAAGTGTGGCATACTGTACCTGATTTTAAGTGCAAAGCTTTTTAGTTATTAAAATACAGACACGTGACTCATATAATTCAATTGTTTTGTCCAATGGTTTTTGATATTTTTCTCTTTATGAAAGAAAGAAGAAGGGTTTTCTTCTTTGTGCAGAGTTTATTGAGTTCTGCCTGTAGCAAACTCAGCAGAGCTGAACACATAATTCCCTCTCTGAAAGCAGAAGGAAATTGCTTACTTAAAGGTTTCCCACATCAGTCAAGAAGATTTTTTTTCTGGCTATGAAAAATGAATAATTATGATTGTTTTTGTAAGGGTTTGTTGTTATCTTCATACACGGATTGCTTGGCAATATTGCTAGATGTCAGTAAAATAACAAGACTGCATGTATTCAATGTACAGTAATTGTATGGCCATAACCAGGTTTTGATTTTGTAAAAGTTAAGACTGTGTTTTGCATTGTATTGTTAACTATATTCTGAAATAGTAAAGAATGTGAGGACCTGGACATAAACATACACAATAAGCGATACTAACAAGTTTTTTAATTACAAACAGCAATCTACTGACATTTCTTTCGGAAGAAATAATACTGTCCACTAAAAAGGACTATTAGAAAATTTAGTTAACATTCTTACTGTATATTTGTCTATGGCATATAATTTTCAAAAACTCCAGAAGATCCTAAACTAAAGATCCTTCGAAACCTTTGAATTTCATAACATGGTGGACGTTTATCAGCTGAAACAAATGTCTTGCTCACTTGTAGACAAACAAAAGCCCCTGTAGACATAAACCTGGAATACTCAGTCTTTGATGTTTCAATAGAAATCAGATAACAAGGATTTGATCACATTTACGTAATATTATATTTCTTTCAAGAACTGTCTGGTTCAAATCCTTGGATCAACAGGGAAACCAAAAGGGCTAGATGGGCAGAAAGCTGTCAGTGCATTAGTCCCATCGTGATGGTATCGTCAACAGATTTCATCTGTAACATAAACAACTTGCAAACACCTTTTCACTCACTTTGCAAGATGCCTTCTGAAATAATAGCTGGTGTACTGGGATTTTGAAGTTATGTCCCGTTATTCCCATTATTTATAGTATAGTCCCGTTATTTTAGTTTCAGGAAGAAAACTGTGCTCCTAACCTCATGCATAACCAAGGTTCAACTGCTGTTGTTGTAAATTCATTTGCAACCATAACTTATAAAATAGCTGTAATATACAGTATAGCTGTAATAAAACAAACCCTTCACATACAGGTTGCATTACTGAAGGTATGAGATGAAGAATAAAATATGACTGTACTGTCTAAAATGTAAGTTGTTTTAACTTCTGTATGCTGTCTATCTGTGCTCAGGCCACACTGCGCAATTCAAATCCTTCACATGTACACAGGAGTGTAATTTGAGTGAAGAACCATGGCTTTGAGGAAGGAGATAAAATATTACTAATAATTCTTCACAAGAGGGGGAAGCTGCCAGGCAACTCAAGAGTTCAGGCTGCAGTCAACAAACACAAAATGGCAACTCTGGTAAAGAGTGAGGAGATGAGGGAAAATTACAGTACTTCCTCTCTGGCACTCAAACCGATTTCAGATTCACAGCATCTTTCCATTTCAGATAACACCACAAAATCATGTCTGTGCAGAGCAGATATCACACAGAGAGTATTTCAAAACCCTGTTCAGGAAGATTGTGGAAATGCCCACAAAATTTATATTTATTCACTGTATTTGTCATTGTAGCTTTTATTCATGACATATTTTTACATCCTTTACAGGCCTGAGTATTGACAAGTTCAAGTACAGCTGTGCATTTCCAATTATGAAGCAATATCCACATTTATTGTGGTATCACTTACTGTACATATACATGTAATACAATAGAGACTGCAGAGAATATAAGCTGTATGTTATGTTTCAGAAAGATACTCTGTACCCTTGTTAAAGACAACTGAAAAAATGGTATGCTATGATAAAAAAGTGTGTAATGGATATAAATGATTTTCTTCCTTCTAATACTCAAAAGAAGCACTTAAGGTATTATCTTTTTTATGGCTGTTGAGATGTCCTGTGAGCTAAGCCTTTGTATTATTTCTCTGTGCAATTTCCTGGGGTGTTTCAGTATGAAATACCTGTTTTGATACTATAGATCATATCATAGGGGTTTTGACTCTCATAAAACAGTAAGTCACAGTTATTTACCCATCACCTGTTTCCTCTTACAGACCTTGCCCTGGGCAAGCCTACTGAAAACCTAGAAAGGGAATGAAACCTAGAAATTCCACTGAAAGGCCATTTCAGTGGCGCGTAGAGGAGTAAGAAAATGGATGCACTTTGTGTCTAACTATAGCAGTATGAAATAAGATTTGCAATTCACGATTAAAGTATCTCCAGTAAAAAAACAAAACAAGATAACGCAAAAAA